GCATAAAAGGGCTTGGACCCCGGTCATAACTGCTTTGCAGTTCTAGTTTAATTTTAATTTCAGTATTTTAAAACAAAAGTCAAATATCCAATCATTTCTTGTTTTTTAATAACCGTTTCAAAAATGAAAATCCAATGACCAAAAGATACACTGACCATTTTCAAACCAATGCATTCAATTTCAAATTATTCAATCTGAGGAATTCAAATTCAATTCCTACTGGCACAAGATTTATCCCATACTAGTGACCCGGTCCCTGAGTAAGAGGCTTGATCAGTTTTTTCAGTCCATTTTCTTAAACAGTTTTTTTTCTTTTAAATTTTAAGGGCTACAAGATGGATGATCTGATAACTTCCTACGTGAACATGTACTCCAGAGAGAGAACGGTGCAAACCAGGCACCAACGCTTCAACATGTGAACACTCCCCAGCCTCTACTGGAAGCTGCAGGACATGTTGCCTGTTTAGGAAAAAAAAACAGTTTTGTTTGTGCATGTACAAAAAGAAAAGCACACTTCAGTTTTTATTTAATGCAGTTAATGCAGTCTGTCAGCATGTTTTCACCAAACATTATTCCATTTGCATGAGCTTTTTTTTTTTTTTCCTGTTTTTTGATATCTTTGGCTTTTTGTTGAACTTTAATCCAAACTGCCCAGAAATGACTTGATGTTAAGCACAACCTGTTTTTGGTTTATTGGAATAAATCAGCAGGGTTTCAACCATGTTTGCAGGTTGAGACCAAATGTTAAAGGCAGAAAATCTTAAACAGATTTTTATATTTACAATAGTTTTGTCAGTATCTAGTCAGGTCAATATCAGTGTATCTTGTTTCAAGTCTCTTCTGTTATTTTGCTACTTTCTTTCTCTTCTTAATTATATGACTCACAGTCACGGTGGAGTTTATTTACACTTTCATGGATCCTAAAAAACGAACATAAAGATCATGTTTGGACAGTGGTGGGTRAGGTTCCACTAACCAGATTACATCTAAGAGTTGAACTAATTTATCATTTAGCCATTTAGCTTTTTTTTTTTTTTTGAAAACCGTTAGCAGACCAGTTTTCTTCTGTTAAATTAGGTTTTGCCAACTTTAAGTTTACTAACAGCTAACTAACAAGCTACGAACGTGTTTGTGTCAGTCCCACCAGCTGGAAGGAGACAAAAATGTGACACTATCAGTCTTCTTAGCAATTAGCTGTTAGTGTTAGCTTCCACTATTTTTTACTTATTTAACTGTTTAGTGTTACCTTCCTCTAATTTAATTTAACACATTTAGCAAAGTTATTTTTTTAGTAAACAGATTGAGCTAGCAAGGCTAACCTTTTGGTTTACAGTGCCCACCACTGGATTTGAGTTTAAAAGTTTTAATCAAGTTGCAAACGATCAATTACTTATTTGTGGTTAATCTGTGTCACCAGTAAATATATATGCCTGAAATGTTCACATGCAATTTAAATTACCTTTTTGTGGACAGTTAAAACAAAGTATAGATTTTTTAAAAAGGATTTTAAATATTTACTAATCTACTCCACTGCTGCTGTCAGAGCAAGGAGAGTCTTCTATAAGATGGTATGAAACGTTTTTGGCTCAGGGGGAGTTTTATGTCTTTATGTCTTTGTGCTTCACACTAAAACCAGGGGCCCCAACTCTGAAACACAGCCCCACACTGAGTGTGGTATTTGAAAACTCTACAGGGTATCTTTGAGGAGTATGTCTTTATAAATCACAGAGGAGGAAAGTAATTGTTAGAATCAGTACACAACATATAACCTGTGAAAAGATATTCAATAAAACATTCACAGTGGAGAATTTTCTCTTTGCTAAATTTGTCAAATAAAACATTTTCACACTAAAAGTCTGTCAGTGATGTTAACTATTCTAATGTTATAT